GGTCCGGACCAACGCTGGAAACGAACTCTGGTTCGTTTAAAGCAGAGCAAATTATCAGGTCTGAATACGACCTAAGTGTTGCTGGTCTGATGGACGTCGAGAGAGAGATGCCTTGCCTCTGGTTTCCCACATCATTAAAGATAAGCTTGTAAGTTAGGAACTAACTAATATCGTACTTTTCCTCCTTTTCTTAAACCCCTGCCTTGCCAACCTAAGTTATTTGCTTCAAATTGTCTGGTATTCAACATCTAGCTGGATGTTTGCTGTTCTACAAAATGCTGGATTGATAAACAATTAAGTTCAGACGCGATCTGGATTGTTATTGTTTCTTAAAACTTTTTATAGGAAATTGATTSCTCACAAATAAGTGTACTGTAGTGATTTTGTTTGATTGTGTAAATAAATGATTTRTTGATGGATCGAATTTAAACTCACTGAGAAGTCACTTTTTGTGTTTGTCTATTCACTTTTGCAAGGAAGAGATATCTACCAAAAATAAGAGATCCTTGTTAAATATTTTCCTTATAACTTTGTTATAAGAAGAGTAGGGTTGAACCCTACAATGGTTAAATGTCTTTTAGACTACACCTGCCCCTCAGATGGACAACTCCTGTAGTTTGACATTCTGGATCTTTGGGCTTGGCTAAACCAGAATGATGAAGCCAGAATGGTTATCAACAGCAGAACTATTACTAGTATTTCTTAAGTATACAGCATTTTTAAAAAGTATAATAATAATAATAATAATAAATAAAGTAATAGAACATGAAAAAGTCTTTAATTTAATTTGCATTAGTTGAATCTTATGTATCTCTCACTTAAATAACTAATATCTGTAGTTTTCAAATACCTGGAATGTTACTGTGGGGAAGCAGATTAGGTGTAAAAACCTCCTGCCATACTATGAACTTCCTCATGCTGCTGAAATAATTTGCTGCGCTCTCAGAGCAGAACCCGACTGTTAAGAGCAARCGAACGTTCACATCTTTTCACCTCCGCAGATAGGAAGGAAAAAAGTTTTTCCGACTATGGTTTGAAAAATAACCCCACTGTGGTTGTTTAAATGCTTTGCTCTGCATGAAACGCATGTATATGTTACGTCAAAGTGTTCGTGGGAAAAGTGAAATATCTGTCTTCACCCTTGAGCAAAGTCCCCTTAACCCATCCTAGTTGCTTCACAAAAGTGGGCTCTGGTAKCTTGGTGGTCAGTGGTTGTATCTGAAAGAACATTTGGCTTGAAAACGATTAAATCTTTGTGCGAGTTAGCTTGCTGTGGGGACCCCCGACAAAGGGAACAGCCAAAAGAAAAAAAAAAGAAAATATTGATCAAAAAACAAAGCTGCCACCAGTGGCTCATAAATGTTGCCATAGTAGCAACACGCATGTGAAAGACCTCCCAATAAGATAAGCTGTATCAAAACAATATGAAATACAGTATTTATCAAATGATAGATATTTAAAATTGTAAGGGGTGCAATCATCTGGTTGTCACACGTCAAATTTCCTGCGCCTTTGGAAATAGTTTAAAGAAATGATTCACTTCCAATTTTGAAAAACAGATCCAGTTTAGATACAATGAAAGACAAGAATCTGGATGTGTGTACTCTCTTCACACTGGGAGAATTTAGAAAAAAAAACATAGGTCTTTTAGCTGTGAGAGACACCGAATTAAAAAAAAAAATACTAAATCTGGCATTTAATCCAACATAACGTCCCATTATTCTCAAAACAAGCACAGAAATGTGTACATACTCTGGACTGGACTCTGGAGTCAGACTGGACATGTCTTCTGATGTAGGTACTGAAAAAACAAATTAAGAAAAACAGATAAGCAGAGTAATAAGAAAATGCCAGTGAGTCTTGATGACAGCATGTAATTCAATTGCTCTAATTGCTGATTAGAACAGAATCTGACATGACTCGACACAGCTGCAGGCTGGAACACATCTTCATTCCTTGGCTATCAGAGGATGTGGGTGTAAATGATGGCTAGGACAGTTAGGATTCTTCAGACAGCTTGAAAATCCAGTATGATGTTCAAACTGAAACTGTTGAGACATTCAGCCTTGTTATTGTCACCTATTGCCAAAGGCATGTTCTGTCTGAGTTTGTGCGTGTGTGTTCAACAGCTCCAAATGATTACTTTTAGGTGTCAATAACATTCAGGATGACGCAACWCCTAAATACAAACAAACAGCAAAATGGCTGTAACTCAGTCAGCATTGCAGACACTGAGCTAAAGAGTTGGTGAGGTAGTAGTAGAGAGCCACTCCCAACTTATACACTGCAAGCAAACTGACTGCATAAGTGCCTATGTTTAAAAAACTTTGCCATTAGAGTCAATAACAGCAAAATAGCTAACTAAAGACAGAATTTATTCAGATTTTTCAAAAGTAATCATTGGCTGTACACCTATGACTGACTAACATTTTGAGTCAACCAAGTTCAAGACGGCCACCACAGCTAGCAAACACAAAAAAGTCTGTAACTCAGCCAGTTTCACATATTCTGAACTAAAATTTGGTGTGGTAGTAACTGGCYATCATTCTCAAAACCAGTGCACATTGCACAAGATTTCTGCTAAAGACTTTAGTGTTGTTGTTAACCCTGTTTGCCTGTTAGAAAAATGTCTCATAGATCACTACATGGAATTTAATGAGACTCTCAGAAAATATTAATTGGATGTACATCTACAACTGATTACCATTTACTGACCCCACTTCAAGATGATCGTCAAAACACATTCTACATGCTAAACACATGCTACACATTCTCAGTCTCCAAATTCAGGGGCTGTGTCCTTCGAAGGAACAGGCCTACCCATACTAGGTGGGCCGGGTCCTTGGTCGACCGCAAAAAAGAGGCTGTTAATTTGGACGGTCTAGCCTTCAGCTTTATTTCGGCCGTTACTTCAGCGTAAATTAGCAAAATATCAATCCGTTGGTATTATTAATATTGTAAAATAAAATTAGCTTAAAGGCGACACTTGCAATACTTGAAGCTAAGGGACCTGCAGTACAAGCTCGTTCGTTTCAACATACCAGCTCGTTTGATTTCTAACAAGAAAATTTTTACAAACATGTTGATGCAAATTACAAAAGCATTAACAACACAAACACTTTAAACTTTCAGTTTTTAAACCAYCAGATTTTTATTTAAAACTGACCTCCTTTTTCTTGCTTCATCCATCATTGCAAGCAAAGACTAAAAATTCCCGGTCAGCCCGCAAYGCGCCGAGATCAATCTACTGGACCTGTCCCTCAAATCGAGGACAAAGGAGSACRCATTTGTGGGCTGCATCAGAGGAGTCTTTAAATTTGGACAAATTTTGGCACAGTGAYGTAATGTGCAGACAAATTTGGCCTTTGAAGGACGTAGACCCTGAATTTGGACACAGGCATCAGCCCCGYTTTCCTGTTAGCAAAAACACTATGAGCCACTGGACGGATTTAAAATAAACTTTCTGGATTTTTTTATATCTTTTGTTGGTACATCTACAACTGATTAAAWTTTGGAGTCAGCTTAATTCARCATTGATGCCAGAGCTAACTGACATTAGCCAATAGAAAAATGCCTACACCTCAGTCAGTTTTACAGATACTGAGGTAAAGTTTGATCTGGTAGTAGCTAAGAGTCATTAACAACACAAACTCATATTGCAGAATCGTGCAGATCACACGTAGTGTTATTTTCAAGGTTTGACTACAACGGTTAAAATTCTACCTCTATTCATAAGATGTTGACCCACTGACATTAAAAAGCAACAGACAGTCTTTAATTTTAAGTTGCAACATCAACTTTGTTTAGGYTTTTTCTTTTTTTTTCAAATCTTGCGTCACCTTGTAGCTTGCGCCGATGAAAACGTGGGGAGCCCAGCAGGTTATTTTTGAACGAGTTAAGTCTCGTCCTCCAGTGGGTGGAGCTCGAAGCAGCCAAACCACCACTCCCACCTGGGCTAGAGGGCGGGGTYAGCGACAGTGAAGCCCCGCCGCCTCCATCCGCTCTGGAAGAAGACGACGAAGAGGAGGAGGAGGGTGGGGTGGTGGAGGAAGGGTGGTGGATTTGATGCACAGGTGTGCTGAGCGGGGTAGGCAACGGCGAGCCCTGCGGTGTGACCTGTGACACAGGAGGGAGGGTGGCAGAGGCGTTAGAGGAGGAGTGGACGTTCTTGGACCTGAAGACGGACGGAGAGGGGAAGTTGAAAAAGCGTGGGGTGGGAGACAGAACGGGAGACGGTGAGGGGGAAGGAGAGCGTGGCCCCTGGAGTGGGAGGGACTTCATCGAGTGGAGCTGGGGCCGGTCGGCAGGGCCCTTGGAGGGCAAGGTCTGGGTTTTTGGGTCGGGCATTGGCCGGCCGGGCCGGGGGGTCRTGGCACTTCCTGGCTTGGAGTCTTTAGAGGTGGATGTGGAGGTGACCTCTGATTGGTTGAAAGTGAAGACTGGACTCTGATGGGCAGACAGAAATAGATGGAAGACAGGAGGGAAAGGGACATGAACAGATGGAACAGGAAGCAATGGTCATGAAATATGACTTGTGAACTCTGTTCATCAACATGCCTTGATTAGACGCACTCAGTGGTAGGGTTGGGCATAATCGTATCGTGTGCAATTAATCGCCAGAAAAACATTAATCGATTATTTTTTTGGCACTYGACGATTAATACGATTAATGCCAGCAGGCAGACTGACTGAAGTTTTCTCCAGTCAGTCCGCTCAGTGCTCCTCTCCGCTTCGAATATGACAAGCATTAAAAAAAAGTTCAGTAATGTATTTATCTATCAACACAATTTAAAATTTGATGTATAGCCTGAAGTCTGTAATTTTGACACAATTTGGAAATGATTTTTCAATAAGAGCAAGTCTTTCCCACTAAATTGGTGATGTGACCAGGACATAAAGGATGTCCAGGKACTCCAGGGGATTAATCGTCAAATTAATCGTTATCGGCTAAATACCACAATTAATCGTGAAATTTTTTTTTGCCAATATTGCCCAGCCCTACTCAGTGGAAGATAGATTTAGTGATCTCTAGTTTCTTGTCTAATCATGTGCGTCTGTCAGGCAGCCCTTGATTGTGTCATAATATCTGCACAGGCTTGTATGATGCGGCATGATGTAGCTGGGATGGAAATGTGACAGTATGGTGGAAGAGCAGCAGGAACACACTGACCAACCATTACTAGGGAAAACATCACAACACAGAAAATTAAGTTTTGAGAAACAAAACTGATATTTATATGCTGAAGCTACAGATGACACACACATACTTGAAAGGTACACTATGTTGCAAGAAAAAAATCACCTCCTTTGTATTTTCTCCACTTTGTTATCATTCTCATGGTGTTAAGACAACTGTTTGAACAGATAAGTGTGGAACTGTCAAGCATCTAAAAATTGAACCCAAGCATGACCCAGATTTGTGGAGGTCAACCATTCTCTCTCYAATACACTGCCCAGCCAAAAAAAAGTTACCACCTGGATTTAACTCAGGTCTATGATGTGGGGTTGCTGCAATTGGTCAGTTCTAGGTTCAGCAACAGTTTGTGCTCAAAGAATGAGGTCAGCTGACTACCTGAATATACTGAATGATCAGGTTATTCCAGCAATGGATTGTTTCTTCTCTGATGGCACGGCCATATTTCAAGATGACAATACCAGGATTCATCAGGCTGGGATTGTGAAAGAGTGGTTCAGGAAGCATGAGGCATTATGGACTGGCTCCACAGAGTCCACTGAGAATCTTTGGGATGTGCTGGAGAAGGCTTTGCTCAGTGGTCAGACTCTAACATCATCAATACAAGATCTTAGTGAAAAATTAATGCAACACTGGATGGAAATAAATCTTGTGACATTGAAGTAGCTTATCAAAACAATGCCACAGTGAATGTGTGCAGTAATCAAAGCTAAAGGCAGTCCAACAAAATATTAGACTCTGTAACCTTTGTTTTTGGCCAGGCAGTGTATCTTGTGTGACTTATTTCCATTTTCCTTTCAAACAGAGAAGTAGTGTGTTTGAGGTGTGCCTTAAAATGCATTCATAGGTGGAGTTGTCGACTAACCCATTAAAACCTTCCAAAGTCATGACATCATCATCTCGACTTTCCCAAAGAAATCTAGGCATAATAATCTTAGTGCAAGTAAACGAGACACTTCAAAGAAAGCAATACAATATTATTATTATAATCCTCTTTCATTATATGTTGATTTTACAAACAGCCATGTGTTGGAATTCTAACTGACCTAAAATAGAAAAGATTTTGTTTGGTTTAATGTCAGACAGTGAGAAAAGATGTCATGTATCTATATGTTACATATAGGCATGGGCTGAATACCGGTTTCAAGGTAAATATGAAAAAGTCACGGTTTCAAAGCCACTAAAATTTTCTGTCATACCATGCCTACAGTATGACAGAGCGGAAAGCGTTTTTTGTTTATTTTTCCTCCGGTCTTTTCCGCTGCAGACTTTCCCCCGTGACAACTCCCCCATGCACTCCTGCAGCAGACTGCCTGTCAGCACTCGCAGCTCTGCGGGGGTTGTGTGGTTGCTGAAGAACAGAGTTCTCCAAACTTTTCCCGTCTAAAATAATAAATCCAGCTATATGAAAATACTAGGGGTGCAACGATACAGGAAATTCACGGTTCGGTTCGACACTTTAGTCTCACGGTTTGATATTTTTTTGATATAAAAAGAGACATTTCCATGCCCCTTTAAACTTGTAATTTATTTATATTAATTATGAACATTTTTTTAACCTCAAAAGTACAGTTTTTTAATTAAACTTCGCTGAAACAGCAAGTTTCTCAGTGGATCTGTGCTCAAAAATCCAGGCTAGGTGAAGTAGTCGAACACAGATCCACTGATCCTTTAACACAGAGCATCTTCAGAAGACAAGATGATAAATCAAATTTTTTAAATCTGTATTGTTCGATACAAGTGTGTATTGAACCTAAAGCACTGTTAGATATGGTTCGATACGGGTACATGTATTGTTGCACCCCTAGAAAATASTTAGGATGCTGTAAAGACGACAGAAATGTGGACCGTGGAGGCAACGCATCTAACATGATCACAGCTCCAGGTAAAGTTTATGCTGTCTTGAAATGAACGAGCTAACTTTAGCATCAGATTGTGAAACACATCATTGTGTTGCTGTGGCTTAATGCGCTGATCACAGCTTGTCTGCAAAACTGAGTTGTTGGATTGTGTATTTGATATGTTTTAAGTGAAAGGCGATAAAACTGAATGCCTCCTTTTTTCTTTTTTTTATTTTTTTTATTTTTTTACCCGATTCAGTGATTGAATTAACTCTTCAAATTGGGCAGAAGCCTGTTAATCACCCAGCCATCAAAATCAGGTGGGTTGGAGCAGGAAAACCTCTAAAACATGCAGGATAGTGGCCTTCGAGGACTGGAGTTTGACACCCCTGGGTCAAAGTCCAGATCTCCATCCAACTGAAACATTCTGATTTGTTTTAAAAATGCCTCCAACTTGATGAACCTGGAGAAAATTTCAAGTCTTAAGGCAACAAAACAAAACAAAACAAAAAACACAGGGTGTGTGTGTGTATAGTGAGGGGTGGGAAGTGGTGTAGGGTGAGTACTTTTGAACCCCTATGTGTTTTTATAGTGAACAGTTTAATCTCTGTTTTAAAATAAAACCGATATCTATTGGTTCCTTTTATTGTTGCAGCAATCAATATGTGAAACATCACATGGAGAAACAGTTCAAAGCTCATAAGCAAAATAATGAAAGAAAAATTGTCAATAGCCCCATCGTCTTCAGACATCTAGTGTTTAAATCATCATCTGATGTAAAGTGCAAAGACATTTTTCAACACAGGTCATTTGTGCACACTGGATRTTAGGTCAGATTCACAACACAACTCGACATGAAAGAACCAAACAAAATGGCATATCGTGTCCTTACCCTAGGACTGCTGAGAGGACTGGAGGACAGACCTGTCGACGCTCCACTGACTGAGCGAGACCTTTAGAGAAGASGAAAGAGTCATTTAAAAAGGTGTTATAGCTGAGTCAATAAAACCTTTTCTGCTGTCTTTGTGCCAATCTGGTCTATGAATGACCTTTTATTTTGACAGAATATTATATTWAGAACTTGAGCCTGAAACTAGTGCGTACCTTTGGCTGTGTGCATTACTGTCTAAAGCCCTGCGAGGTGGAGTGGGGGACCCTTGATCTGTGACACTGAGGACCTCCAAGCTCTTCCTCTCTGGACGGCAACGGCCGTGCCGTGTCAACATAGGAGAATCCACACGTTTCCTGGGTGGGTCTTGGAAGACAAAAACAAAAGTGAAATTTCTGTTKGTTAAAAACTGTGATAAATAAATCACAATTTGCTGTCAGTATTTGACTTCTTGTTCTTAAAAAGTATAAAGAGTAACTTYACTCACCATGGTCATTTCTGGGTGGTAGGTCCTCATCTTCACAGCTGGGGTATCGCTCCTTCCTGTCCAACAGGAGGTAGTAGATCATTTTTTCCTGATTATCTCTGCAGAATATGAGAAGRAGGAAAAAATACATAAAGTTCAGAAAAACAGGTGACTCAAAACATTAAAGGAAAAAACAAACGTAGGTGGATGAGCTCTGACTTTCKGAGGATTTGGTTGCATTTGGGCTGGTACACTGTAATTGACCTATCTGTACACACCATTATGGATAATCTTTCTAGGCAGGCTTAAGAGAGTTATAGTCCCATTTTAAAAAAGGGAAACAAGAGGGTTTGTAGCAACTACATGGGTTCACAGTTATCAGCCTTATGAGAAAGCCTATCCTATACTGTACTGGAAAGAACAACACAATCAAAAGAATGTTGGATTCAGGAGAAACAATGCAGATATTGTCGTGGCATTTGCCCGCCCAACCAGTCCATGACATGACATCAACTCACAACACCTGTTGTTTTGTTTTGTGAGAGTTCCTTCGGGAGATAGGGGTTTTTGGTCATGGTTCTTTATGGGGAAATTAGAGCTTGGACTCTAAAATTATGTTCATCTTTCCATCAGTTTCCATCAGCAAATTCAGGGTCAAGGCACTGAGGTCAAGGGTTTAGGATGGAAAACCTCTGACTTCAGCCACATTCTCCAGTTTAGATTTATAAAAATCCTACTCCAGTGGATGGTATCTCTACTCTAAGCTTCTCACCTATCTCTTTTTATTTTTTATTAGTTTTCATTAACCATTATTTAACCAGGCAAATCCCATTGAGATCATATACAGTATCTATTTTGCAAGGGAGGCCTTTAAATCTGACCCCTGGTCTGTAAACTCATCTCTTCAGATTTGCCTAGTCTTAACTTATTTGGTGAACTTTTTATTTTAATTTATGATTGTTGTGCCCTTCACTGCATTCTTTTTTACACCATTTTCACTGATGTATGTTTCTTACTGTACGGTGTCCTTAGGTGTCCTGAAAAGCACTCCTTAAATAAAATGTATTATTATTTTTCTACCTTCTGTTATGTTTGCTTCAGATGTCAAAGTGAAATTATTGTATGGATAGCTTGTACTCACTCTTCACTTGTAAGGTCCTGTGTGAGTTTAACCCGATCTCTGAAGCACCCTAAAGAGTACATGCTTTCTAGGACATCTGGATCAAGGTCTGATAAGGACAGGATCCTCTTTACACACACACGACGAGGAGGAGGCTGCTCTGGGCAAGGCTCATTACGACCGCCCCTGACAGGAAAAAGACAAAGTGTAAAGACTGTTATTAGAAACATCTTACCATTTATTTGATGAACTGACAAGATCCAACTTGGTATGAGATCATTGCATTTTTTATTTCTCCACAAAGAAGGAAACAGAGAAGAAAAAGCATGTTTCTGCAGCTTCAAACAAGGTTTTGCTTTGATCTGGTTTTATTTAGAAGAAGCTAAGATAATCAGTTTTGCCCTATAACTGTACATGTTTTAATTAACAAAAAATGTGAAAAAGCAAGTTATAAGTGTGTCGGGTGGTGAAGAAAAAAGCAAAAAAAAAAAAATAGGAAGTCAAAAAAATTAAGAACATATTATAGGTACTTACAAATACCAGGAGTGTTTTTGTATTGCTTCTAGCTGTAATAAAAAAAATGAAGAAGACAATATTAGAGCTCTCATCAAAATATAATTTCTTGATGTTAACTTTCTGATCTCTTGTTTTTGTGACCAGTTTTACCCGACGAAACAGGACATTTTCTATAAGGAAAGCTAAAKGTACCATCTCACTGAACAGTACGCCTTCTGAAGTCTCCAACATACCTCAAAATATCCACTGTAGTTTTGTTTCTTTGGAGATAGCTTTTATGAACATTAAAGTAGAAATATGTTGATAGTCCTGCTGGGGGTAKCCCAGCACTAAAATGTAAAAGTAGCTGCTGTTGTACATTTAACGTTGTRAATTACAACAGAAGTCCTTGCAATAATTTCTTGCTTGACCTTGACCCCACACAGACTAGCCATTAGCTTAACARTCACAGATAAACTCTGTTTTTCCAAATGAGGTCGTCAACAGAGCCGTCTGCAACGGTTTACACAATAACTGTTTATAACATTTCCACAGAACCRTATTTCAAAAGATTTAAAGGAGACCAATTATGGGTCCTAGAAATGTTTATGGTATGTCTGTGGGCTATCCAGACCATGTTCATTCAATTTAATGCACAAAATAATTCTCAGATAATAAAATTTCCCATTTTCTAGTTCTGCCTGCTCTGACTTCTGTTCAGAAGAGCTGTTTATGTTAATGAGCTCTGTTGGTAACGCCCTCCAAATATCTGTTGACATTAACTCCGCCCTCCAAAGCCAGTGTTTACGTCAGCATGGCTAATAATAGCAGAAGCTCCGTTGTACAACCATATGAGAGACCCAGAGTCAGACCCAGAGGCAGAGTCGTGGTCCCAGCTTCTTTTTTTCCTCCCCCTCCTCTGCTCTGCCCTCACTCTGCATGCTGTTACCAGAGCAGGGAGCAGCAGCGGTCAAAATACCTCAGAAACTCAAACAAATAGGCTTTAACAAGGCTTTAATAAGCTAAACAATAGAGGTACATGAGAAAACGTGTTCATAACGAATGAAAATAAATAATTAAATTGTTTGTGTCCGTGTCAGTCTCAACCCCTGGTCTCCTACTCTCTGGTCCAACACTCTACCCATTGCCCTATTGGAGGCTTGTTGTGAAATGAGCTACGCATTGCACAACAACACGGTGACGGCTTTTTATACTGAGGAGGTGGAGTCTCACCCGGGGGTTGCTAAGTAAGGGGCTGAACGCAGGTTCCGGTGGGTTGTCGTACGATTTGTGACATCACAAAATGTAGGAAGTATAAAACTTGTCGTTAATATACATTAAAAATACATTTACTTACAGTAAATATGCCCCTGGGTGCATTTCTTTGGTCCTGGGACTGTTTTTTTTAAGAAGTACATACCCAAAGTTGAGTAAAAAAAAACTTTAAAAAGTGAATTTTGCATAATAGGTCCCCTTTAAGCTATCACTTTAATATCTGAAACTAAATTCATCATAGCTCACCTACAAAAAGGAAATTTTTACATATTTTCCTTAACACTAAAGGTATTTGCTTCATAGATATTTTAGTAATGATATCAGAAGCTATTCTAATTCAGGAGCTAGTTATGTGCTTGGCTTTGATGGCGTGCTAACTGTAAGTTCTTGCTTTCATTAGCTCCAGGAAAGTTTTCCTGCAGCTGTCCTACATCCCCCTCATACATTATACACCCTGCATTAGAGCTGAACACAACTGAAACCATTGCATCAGTGATGCAGACGATCTCTGGGGGTTGGACTAATGGAGCAGATGCTGCWCTGCTGGCGCATAAAGGTGGGCCTGCTGTTCTCTCTACAATTCAGACAGAACAGCAGGCTGTTATGAAACTGGATAAAATCGGTGCTTCACATTTGTTACCTGGTTCCTAAAGTATCATTTGGATACAGTAACTAATATTTAAGTGGGTCAAATTTCTAATGTTAATCGCTAACGATTAGCTGTTGCAGAGGCACGTAGCAAACCGACAGAGACTAAGAGACAGYGTGACCTGGTTTCAGGCTCCATTAATCAACAGCTCATCAGACAAAATCACAACTTTGATTAAATCTGTTGTTGCTGAATTACTAACCCCCCCCCCCCAATCATTACATTATAAGGTTCTCTAAAACATTTGCATGCAGTTGAAAACCTGCATTCAATTCCCTCTTGCTGCCAAAGCATCAGCATTGAAGCACCCTTAAAACTGTTCACTAGGATTGTAACAATACAGCCATCCATATCGATTAAATTATTATTGATTCATCGACAGACTTTGTGACTTTGTGAAACATATCATCATCCAAACAAATTAATGTAATATTGTGATAAAGCGGGTGATTTGCACCCCTACAATTCACCTGTTTCAGTCACATATTTCCTTTTCCCTTTTGCATCTTTAAAAGAGCCCATGCAAAAAATAAAATAAAATAAAATAACTTTTAAACATGCAGCTTGTACCTGAATGGTGTAGTTGAAATTTGTAAAAACATAGCAAAAGATTTCCATTTAAATAACAATTCAAGTGCCAAAACCCAACCCTCTTTAGCTAAGTCATACTGTACAGCAGAAACATAATTTAAATTAAAACAGGCCAAAAAATGGTTGACTTTATATGACAAAACTAGTGTTTTGATGTCTTTAACACGATTTGTAAAAGGACAGTTTAAGTTTTAATAGTTTGTAAAGATCTTCTTAGGCCCACAATCTTTACACTTCCTATTCAGCTTAGAGCTCCTCTTTCCTTCCACGTAATTAACTAACCTAACCCTAACTTTTCTTCATTGAAAAAAGCTTTCAGTAATTCATTTTATTTGATCATTTATGTGATTATGTGAACATTCAACATTCTTGTATCTTTTTGTTTCATCCAAATTTGTCATTTCTATGGAGTTCTCTTCCATAAAACTACAAATATTTGTTTATTATAAACTAAAATAGACCAGAGTGACTCTAGTGCTACTCCCCAGCAGTATCACATCCTGTGACCCCTCTATTCTTCCTTCCTTCCTCGATAAGGTCCTGTGTCAGGTTTCATTTATGTTCCTGAAGCCTACAGCTAAATCTTAGTTACTCTCCTGTTATTATTTTAAATGTTTGGTTTATGATTGGGAGAAACTGTTAAATTCTATACTTGTAAGGTTAAATTGCTGCCTAAGCTTACTGCCTTTACTTTAAAACTACAATCTGACCTAGATGAACTGTTTGAAGTGAGTAGTGAATTTCAGTTTTATTAAGCAGTAAAATTTGGGCACAGTATAAGCAAGTCACAAATTTTATCTTCTGTGCCTGATTAGTTAAACCCGCAAGTCCTGAAACATTCCAGCCCTTTCAGAACCTTAGACAGTTCCTTCAGCCCTTCACACTGTCCAAGGTCCTAAAACATTCCAGCACTTTCAGGACCTTAGACAGTTCCTTCAATCCTTCACACTGTCCAAGGTCCTAAAACATTCTGGCACTTTCAGGACCTTGGCCAGTTCCTTCAGACCTTGGACAGTTCCTTCAGCTATTCAGAACTTTGGCATTGATATCAAAGAAATGTAAAAATGACACCATCACAATGAATAATGATATCAAACAGGATCTGAAGAACTTTAAGATTGAATTGAACAACAAGCTGGAGAACGTCTGATTTTTGTAATCAAGGTGAATTCTGCTCAGTACAGCAGAACAATGGGTGAATGAAATAGAGATGGTGAATACAGACTTGCTGATTTACTGCCTCAAACAGCAGAAAACCATAATTAGTGTCTTAGCCCTCTGTGAAATGATGTATGTTGCTCAAAAACCTACTTTAGTGTAAAACTGACTGCTGTCTCATGCCTATAATTTTTCAGTACTATTTTTATACGTACACAAAACTTGTACAATAGGTTGTCTTCAGACCCAGGCCTCCCTTGCAAAAGAGATCTGCAATAAGATTAAATCTCAATGGGACTTGCCCGATTAAATAAATGTCAATAAATAAAGTATAAGGTTGGAACTATTATCTGTCGCCGATGTTTGTCTATTCATAATTGTCTTTTCACTTATGTATGTCACTATTAAACATCAGCTGTGGTAAAGCGGATAATAATGTGTTAACAGGCAGAGCACTCAGATGTATGTTTTTCTCTGTTTATTAAAATTGTCTGTTTATATTGCAGACAAGAACACTGAAATACCATTTACAATTTCCTTTCAGTTATTAACCTTTTCAGTAAAAAGGAGTTCACTGGTGACAAGATCAGAATAAAGAGACATAAATTAAGGAAAAATTATTTAAAAAATAGGACTGTTTTACATTTTTGGCACAAAATTGTGAGCATGTTTGAAAAAGGCTACTAAGAACTGTTTTTTTCAAACGCTCTGTATTTCAAGCCCACATGGATCCACCAACAATACAATTTTTAAAAACCTCTACTTCAAACACAGACAGTAAAAATGCTCCAGCAGTGTAATTTCTAACTCAGTTCTCAACACGATTGTAAACTGTACGGTTATCCTACACAAACTATTGCTTCCCTTATGTTCAAACAAGCTCTGAATTCTGTTTTTAGTTCATATTCATTTTTCTTTTCTGTTCTTACCGTAAGCCTTTTGTCAGAATTGACTTCTATCATTCCTTTCAGCAATGCTTGGCAGTCAGGAGGTATGAAGTGAGGCATGTGGAAAACTCCACTCTTTACTTTCTCCAGTAGCTGCCGCAGGTTGTCATGGTCAAAAGGCAAGGCACCCTAGGCGAGAGTGGAAAAAGTAAAAAATACATTTTATTTTTTTCTGTGCTTTTCTTGTTTGTTTGTTTAATCTAGCCCCACTAACTTCTCAAAAAGATGGGTGATAGGTAGGGCCGGCACATGGCCTAAGTAATGTAGGCAGATGCTAAGGGCGCTGGCCACATCCAAGGGGCCCCACAAAAGGTGAAAGGAAAAAAGTAACTTTCCCACTTCTTATTAAAACTGATAATTCAGATTCAGAATCAGATTACTTTATTTGTCATTGTACCGTTAAGCAAAACAAAATACAGTTTGGAACAACCCATCCAAGAGAGAGACAAATACAAACAACACACATGGGAGAACAGGTGCCTGGGTCCTGCAGTAATAGATACCCTTAATTAAATTCGTAATAAAACTAATATTATTCCCTAAGGTAGAAAATCCCACACTAATTTAACTGCAAAGCAAAAAACATTAAATACTACTTTTCTAAATAATAATGATCTTTGCTTGGCTTCCTCCTCCTCCACTACTTGATCTGTTCCTGCCCTAGTGCTCCCTCCCTTCACTGCTCCAGTGCTCATGTGAGGAGAGAGAGAAGGCGATACAGAGTAAAATAAGAAGTCCAAAATTTTTTTCTGTGTTGCAGAAAGACAGAATCTTTAGCTGACTATGGCTTGCTGATAATTAAACCATATTAATGTATGCAATTGGCAGTTGAACACGCCACAAAAAATCTTGTCTTGGGCGCCAAATTGGCTATAGTGCTGGCCCTGGCTGTAGGTAGCAAACTGTGGGGAGAAATGACAGGTAAAGTCTGTGAATTCAAATAAATACTCAAATAGCTTGCCATAAGGGTGTTTTGATGCATGATTTGTCAGCTATTTGAAATGTTCCAGACATGTTACATTTTGTGGGCTGTACAGCTGAAATAAACACCCTAATACTGTATGAGGAGGTTGAAAAATCATCAGAACAAATACATGCATATTATCAGAAAAATACATTTTCTATGTATTTTTTCCTCAGAAAGAATAATCTACCCATTAAGAGATATTTATTTCAGTAATACATTCCACAAAATAAAAAATAAAAAGATCTTGTGGGGGAAAACTACTAGAAATGTATAATTTTGAGTGTTTACTTGAAATGCACATTTGACACAAAAAAATACAAGAAAGTGATTCTGGAACTACTGGAAACATATTTTTACCAGTGTTCCTCTGCAAAATTTACCAATAAATATTATAGAAAAATGTATTTTGGTGTCTAGGTAGTTTTTGTAAAACTACCAATAGTTTGTTCACCTTTACAGAGAAACCTTATTCACATGCAGGATTTGTGTCCTTCTGTCATGATCTGTATTTCATGAGTGGAGGTGAGAACTGAACTATAGATGGATAAAGACGAGTCTCTTCAACTACTTTAACTACTGTATTAGTGTGTTTTGTTCACAAGTAATGGTAAAAAAATACTTAACATTTTATGCTAGTCTGGCCTTAACGTTCTGTGTGACCACTTTTAAACTCACAGATAAAGTCCATATAGCCCAAGCATGCCTCCATTGTTCTGAACAAAGATTAGACATGATCTGGTATTACTCAGAGTATGTGTTGGGGATGACTTTAAGCTTTTACCATAAAAAACTGAAGGTCAATATACAGTGGGGAAAATAAGTATTTAGTCAGTCACCAATTGTGCAAGTTCTCCCACTTAAAAAGATGAGAGAGGCCTGTAAGTGACATCATAGGTAGACCTCAACTATGAGAGACAAAATGTAAAAAAAGATTTGAGAAAATCATTTTGTCTGACTTTTAAAATAATTTTTTTTGCAAATAATGGTGGAAAATAAGTATTTGGTCAATAACAAAAGTTCATCTCAATACTTTGTTGTATATCCTTTGTTGGCAATGACAGAGGTCAAAC